TACAGCCACTAACCTTTCTCTGTCATGCCACTTTTAAACTTCACTTTCAGAAGAGGGAATGGCCCTGTGGAAAGGGCAGCCGGCTGCTTTGCCATCCACCTGTGAGAGAGCTGAAGGTGGCCTTCCCTCCTTCCCTATCCCCTGCCAGGATGAATTGTTTTTAAACCCTAAGAGTTTGGATGAGAAATGCATATGATACATAACATGGCTCTAGTTATAGGAACTAACAAAAAAATCACATTATGCTTTTGCCTCTTTGTGGTTTTGTATCTTGTATCCGACACCAGCGTTGAACTTTTTCCTATCCCCATTAAAAAAAGTTAGAAAGTATGTATGTATGCAAGTGGATCTTTTAAGATAAAAGCTTGTCGATACTACAATAAAGATGACATAGCGTCTGCCGTTTCCAGCAATGTGGGCCGGAGATAGTTTCACACCGGGGCCTGTAGTGCCTGAACCCTGCTGCTAATTGATTAATGTCTGCTGCCATTGTCCGCAGCACCCTGCCCATTCAAAGGCTATGTCTTTCTTTGACCTAAATAAATGGTTCAACACACTAATCCCAACAAAAGGGTCGCTTATGGCCCTAAACCCATTTATGGTTCTCAACTTCATGAATTACCTATTGATTAGTCCTTTTAGTATATTGTTGGCTTTAAGATGAACAAAGCTGAGCTCGGGGCAGCGGGAGTTAATTCACAAGCCGGGTCACATACTCGTAAGGTAGGAGCATGACTTGGTCTGACGGGTGCCTGAACTGGAAACCAAACCTCCGATGCTGTTTGTCGTCGTAACGCTTGTGTAGTGCGTGGCTTGAAAGTGTTATTTGCTGCCTGCAAACAAGACTGATTTATTATTCTTTTCCTGGTAGGACATAGGGTTTGAGTTACTTGCAGAAGATTTGGTATTGCCATTTGTCTCTAGAATGGCACTTTGCTCCGAGTGTGACGTCAGCGACACATGTAATTGTAAATGTCGTTTGTGCACCAACGTGAGAGACTTGTCCACGTTTAGTAACTAGAGTTTGTGGATTAGAGAGCCGGTACGTTTGCCAGGACAAAGGGAAACGCGGGTCATGCACGCTGCGGCGTTCTCTGGCCGCGGACCTGATGCTGCCCCCGGCTTCCCTCCCGGCAGCGTGTCGGAGATTGGGCTGAGACACCTTTTGCACCAGCCTCTGCAGCTCTGTGGCCAGGGTACGCGTCTTGGGAACGCAGCATCTCCTTATCCCAGGGCAACGGAGAAATGGTGGGGGCAAAGCACCCCCCGTCATGAGGTGCAGCTACAGCTCACCTGTATGAGTTTGCTTCTTTCTGATTCTTCTTTCAGAAATCTAGTTTTTAGGGATTTTTTTTTTTTTTGGAGCAGATGTTGACGTTTGTATGGATTCATAAAAAGTTTTGTCTCTCTCCTAAGGTTTTCTAACATAACTCTGAAATGTGCAGTGTTAGAAAAGAAAGAGAAGTAATAAAAGTACTGCCCGAGCACAGTCATTGAAGTCTGGCTATTGAGATACTTCGCTGCCTTCGATTATTTTGTATCCTAGTCAATTGGTAATAGTCCATTTTTCAGTGTGTTTTTTCCCCCTAGCAGTGGAAGAAATGGATAGTATTTGGTCACTGAAAATCTTATAGTTGCTTGATAACCTATCCAGTGCTCTACAACAGCTCCCTTTTTAAGGGGAGGAAATTTTTGGATGGTTACCTGCTAAAGTTAAGCTCATCTAGTTTTGACAGTGTGAGTGAATAACAACAGTAGTTTAAAAATATTAAATTATGCTTGTTTTATGGAAATAAGCATAGAAAAAAATCTAATAATAGATTAATAGTTTTTAGAATGTTTACATTTAAAATACTTGCTAAATGTTTGGGTCTTTTGTTTGTTTGTTTGTTTTAAAAAAATTACAGCGTATCCAAACTGGTATCTTAAAAGCATTTAATAATCCAACTACTAAGACGGCAGATGAAGAAACTAGAAGAAAAGTCAAAGGTATGCAACTCTTTACTGAAAACTTTTAAAAATGCACGAGTTTTAAAAATACCATTTTCTTCAAAACTGACTATAGCAGACAGCAGTCCCAAAGTACAGTAGTTACCAGCCTTTTATTATGTATTATTCTAGTGCCACCTACTGTGTATCTAAAATACAGAGAGCTTAGTATGTGCTGCCTTGCATCTTTGTATCCGGGATAGAGGCTTCTACTGTATTAATAATGTCTCTTTTAATGATGGATAGAATTTAATTTTGTTTTCTAAAATAGCCTGCTGCATCTTCAGGTTCGTTATAGGGCCACAATTGTTGTATCGCTCAGAGAGGCCACTTCAATAAATAAAACTGATTTCTGGCAGTTGACTGATACTGCGAGCACTCTAAGATTACAAAGCCAAGACAGGAAGCCGTTTCAAAAGAAGGCATGTTTTTTTCAAAAGAAGAGCTTTTAAATTTTTGTGTGTGTGTGTCTGTTTATACAGAAGTTCTAATTTTGGGGATTGTGTTTTAATTAAAATCTTAATAATGATTAAGCTGTTTTGAGAGTCACGCTTCCCAAATCTGCAACAGTCAAGGCATAGTGATGTATGAGAACAGGCTTTTGTCTCATTCTTTACAGTTTTACAGTTTCAAAAACCATTTAGAAAGGATGACAACCTGTCTGCTACCCTAGTGTCTACATCAAGGCAATACAATATTATGTATTCAAAAGAAAACTGAGATTTTATTTAAAAGGCTTCTTCTTGAGAGATACAGTATTATTATTCTGTTACAGTAGGTGGGGAAGGGAAGGATAAAAGGGAACCTTCTCACTAAAATATTTTTAAATGTTGAGATAATACAGTATATGATGTATGAGTTATTATATTGTGTTCAAAATGTTTTGAATATGTTTAAAAACTGTGCTTGCATAATATATCTTAGAAAGAATTTTGTTGTACTTATAGTGTGGCATTGGATCTGTTATTTTTCACATTTAAAAAAGGCAATGTTTTTTCAGCGTATGGAAGAGAGGGTGTGAAGATGAACTTCATAGATAGGATCTTTGTTGGTGAATTGACTAGCACTGTCATGTGTGAGGAATGTGAAAATGTAGGTATTCTGGAATTTGGTTTGTGGAATAGATCACATACTGGTTTGATTACGTTGTCTTGAAAGTATAAAATTGTATTGCCAATTTTATACTTGTTTGTTTGTAAAAACAAGACTTTATTGAAAGTTTCTCATTTAAAATGATTTATTCCTTCCCTAAAGCATTATCCTCCCAAACCTAAGAAGAAGGGTCCTTTGAATTCAAAAAGGATTCAAGTTTTGGGCTTGATTTTACATCTAACCTAAGGCTGGAGGTTCCAAATTCTATAATCATCTGTGTTACACCCCGATTTTATTTGGTATTTTTAAAACACCTACCTATATTAAAACATAAATCCTCCTGCCTGCTCTTCTGGGATATACCTGAAAATTGGGAATTAACTTAACTTGAATTAGTATGAGTGGGGAAATGCTAAAATTACTACTTTTTTTTTCCCTTGAAGTATTTTTGCTGATTAACGTAATAACCCTAATGAACAGCATATTCTTTTCATAATTAATATTACTGACATTTCATCATAAATGCTTTCCATAATCCTTGTAATTTTCTTTAACTTTGGAAGAGAAAAACCTTATTTGCATGACTTTTCTAATTGAACGTTACATTTGTGTTTAGTTTAAAACATTGTATTTCATATTATAGAGATTAAGTAAATCAATCAGTCTGAATAATTAAGCACAGTCCTGCAGTGCCAGGTAAACTTCCCTGTGTGTGATGTGCAGCTTACACTTCAGTGTGCTACTAGTAGCAATGAAGAACTTTGACTATATGAAAAAGAGAGGTTGTATGTATTTTGCATGTCTCATTTCTTTTTTTCTGGATTCTTATATTCTGCCTGCACAGGACTTGGGAATTTGTTAGCCGTAGCCCTTTGAGGAAGAGTTTAGCATTCGCTTTCCTTTGCCTGCATTGGCAAAGATATTTTTGACTAATGTTTGTTCATGCAAACTCACTCTTTAGAGGAACTCCTGTTTGAACATCGCTCATCAGGCAGTCAGTCATGATAGTTACAGTAGTTTTGGTCTCATTTATTGCTTTACTGGAACCTAAACCATGCTGAGTCCCTCACGCAACAGGTAAAAAATAAGCCTACAGTCCACACCAAATGTCGCAGTGGAAGACAGGGTCACAAATTTATATAAGAGAAAGTTAACGATGACAGTAATTGAGGGCATGACTCTGTTCAGTAACTTACATGTACAACATGATTTATTTTTTTTTTTCTTTTTAAGGCCTTGTTTTTCAGTCTTTGCAGAGGTAAGATAAGTCAGTTTGGGAAGGAATTTGAGAACGGCCAGGAAAAAAAAGCTTAAGGAACAGGCTTGGACGAGATGTCCTAGTCATAAAGGCAGATGGAAGGTGCTGAGAATACCTTTAGGTATGCTTTGCCAGATACTTCCAGTTTCAGCTTAGATTTTATATGGCTTATAGATGGCTAAATAAAACTTCAGTACAGAAAAGAAGGTTGGGTTTTTTTCAGTCCCCTTTTCCCCATTAATTGGATTTATTTTAACAATTACTAGTGTATGTTATGGTGTGAAAAATTCTAATAAAGCTTTTGGCTTTAACCAGTAAGCCTGACTTAATCTTTTCTGAGAGCATCAGGTTAGAACGTGTCATCTAACTGTCATTAACCAGTCCTTGCTGCTTAACAGTGTACGAGGTCAAACACCTGCACAGAAGTGTCCAAGATCAGGAACCTCTAAAAGTTAGCTTTCTGCAGAATTGTACCATCTAGAAGGCCCACAGGACTTGAAAATCTGTCTGGAGCTGAGAGAAACTGAGCACTGCACTGCTTCTAGGTCCAGTTTGTGCCCAGATGAACAGCCTTGCCCTTTGTGTCTGTATGCTGAAATTTTGTGCGGCATTAGAAAGAAAATCAGAGTTAACTTAAATTTTTTTTAAAAAAAAAAAGTTTGTGGGAAGTTCTTCATTGTCGTTTAATACATCTTGTAACTAATTAGTTTTTTTGTGTAGTTTCTGATCATAATTTGATTATAATAAGAGAGCTACATGCTAAATGTTCCTTGCATTTAATATGCGTTTTCTCTTTTTCCTCAAGATTTCAACAGTAAAAGAACCTTTCATTGATCTTTCACTTCCTATAATAGAGGAGAGGGTAAGAAACAGAATATGTAATGAATAACTATTGCTTCCAGTGGATTGTTTTTACATACCTTTTATAAAGATGGTTTTTTTAATATATATATATATATACACACACACAGTTTCGCTTTCAAGCCTAAAAATGTATGCTGGTCCATAAATACGTGTACTGGCATATTGTCTGTTCATTATATGATTTTATTTATACATATATAGACACACAATGTCGTACGTGCATATATTTTTAAATTAGTCCAAACTTGGAACAAATTACCATAGTAATTTACAGTATATGTAGGTCTGAGATTTGCTTAATTTAGTAGTAGTTTTAGTATATACTTAGAGGAATAGAGTGATTATAAACTCTTTTTTTCCCCCAAGGTCCAGAAAGTTAGATTCTAGCCTGTTGGTTTGCATCTGTAGAACCTGAGTCCCTTGGGCTGAAGTGTACCTACGGGATAAGACAGTGTAAAAATGGATGGACTTTGAAGAGATTTATTTTAGTGTTTTCGGCACAGAATGCCTCCGTTAGCTGCAGGGGAGCTGTGTTCCTTCGAAGGCATATACTGTGGTTTTGCAGGACTTGGGGTTTTCATTTGAGAGTAGGGGGGGTGAGTTGCGAGTGGTTCTTCCCCCATCCTGCATATATTCATGTATGTTTAAGGGAGAGTATTTAATGTAATATTTAATCCTGTATAAAACGTACTCTTCTCCAAACACCAGTCCTGCTCGTAAGAAATTCTTTGTCTTTGTTGCCGAGTTGAGTACAGATGCCTGTGGGAGTTAAAGCTTTAAGAGCACTTCGAGTATCTGGGCTCCTGGGCTTCCTGGCTCATGTGTGTGACACGGGAACTTCGCGGGTTCTCTTTGAGAGAGAGCTGCTGGCTTTTAGCAATCGCAGCACTTACTTGAGGCCGTGCATTACTTTATGGTCATCTCTTCCCTTTATAGTCTAGATACGTTGCTGCCAGTAATGTGATCAGGGATGTGCGGCAGCTCCTTCGTCATGTCATAAGGTGATGGGCTGCACCAGAGGCTGACTTACGGGGAGCTATATGTCTCCTCTAATAAATTCACATCTCATATAGCTATGCATATGCTTATACAATACTGGAATAGGTTATTTGGTATGTATTCTGTACAGGAATTTTGTATCGTTCCTATTTCTTGCAGCTCTCAGTTGATCCTTCACAGATGTTGACAGTGAGTTTATGATAAATAAAATCAGAAAGTCATCTTGTACCACAATTCAGGGGCCAGTAATTGGATTTATGTAGGTTACTATTTTCTAAAGTAAAAAACCCACCTACATTCATCTTTTCTGTAGGTTGCAAAGGAATACAAAATTGGCATATTTCCTTTCCTAATCTCCTGTCTAATTTCTTAGGTTGCAAAACCTGTGCCTTTGGGAAGAACAGGTAAAGGTAAAAGTGTACAAGAGACAGATCTTGGTCAGTATAACTGTTCTTCTATCACTACACTGAATAATCAACCCAAAATTGTCAAGAAACACGCTTTAACAAAAGATAAGGTAAGAACTTAAATACTCATACTAACCAATCCTCTTGAGTTATTCTGAAGTTTCTAGGGCTACAGGGGTAGGAATTTTGACACCTATCAATGGGAGGTGTTTTTGTATACATATAGAATCATTTAGGTTGGAAAAGACCTTTAAGATCGAGTCCAACCACATCATAGACTTGTTTTTAAAATATTTAGGTCATTATTAGAAGTGTGAGAAACAACAGTCATTGGGAACCATTTAGTTTTCGATTACAGGGTTTTGTTTGTAAGGGGAAAAAAAAAAAATCTGCAAGTTAGTTTCAGTTCATGTTGCTTTTGGTTTTGTTGGCTGCTTTTCTTTTGGTGTGGTTTTGTTTCTGGTTGCAATCACAAGAACTGTGATGCCGGCTAAGAGAGCAGGCAAGCCTGCGTTAGTGCCATCTGAGGGATTAGCTGGCAGTGGGTAAAACAAAAATAGTACAGCCAGCAGAGACTCTTGGAGACTGAGAGCAGAGTTTTCATCTTCCACTTGGCCTTCAGCAGCCTGAGGGCTGGGAAGCTCGGTTCAGCCCCTCTCCAGTGCAGCCTCCTAAGACCGTTCTTTTGATGGTAGCAAAAGGGTTCTGCAAATACACCAGCCTAACGGAATGTATTATTTGTACGTACTAGCGTTTACTGATTAAAAGAAATTTGTAACAACTATTGTGCACATATATTATTGTTAATGAAATGTGACAAAGGCTCTTATTGTTAACATTCTTTTCTTTAATAAGCTTTATTGTCCATATAGGGTTGTGTAGCCAGTTAGAATCTACACTAAAAGAGACATGGAAAAATCCAAAATAGTGTGAATAGTACTGTTAATACTGATACATGCAAACACAATTACTGAAACGTTTTCAAAATTAAGAAAATAAAATACAGTATGGCTTCAATAAACTAGACTACACAGACTTCTATAAAGGAAGCAACAACTCTGCTTTCAGTAAGAATGGATAAAGTATGAAGTATGTCAGTCTGTTGAGGCTTTGTGATTCTCTGCTCCCCCTCCATCTTTTCACACATGTATTTATCATTATTTTAGGTTTTTTTTAAAATTATTTTCAGTGTAATGTATCTGTTCTGCAGTAAAACTTCTAATCCAAAACAACTGTTGAATTCAGTCAGCGTTTGTTGATGTTCTATGACTTCAGTTCCTCAGTTTGTAAGTTTGCTTGTGAAAATGGAGGGTGTCCTGTGGATGGTTTTGTAGGTAGCAGAGTATCTGAACACTCCTTGTTAGGCTTCTCTCCTGAAATGGGGAGCTTTACAATTTTAAGAATTTTTGGACTGCTGTTTGCATAATAGCCCTGATCACTAGCAGTAATTTCAGGCAAGGTCCTCTCTCTCTCTCCTTTTCTTATAAGGCAAACAAGCTTAACTGAGACAAGAAATAGTCCTAATGGAAAGGAGTGTTAGGGGTTTCTAATGATTTTTATTCTGATTTTATTCTTTTTTTGCTAAACTGTTCACATGCTTATAGGTTTAAGGACTTGAATTATGAAATTGTACATTTACTGTAAATTTAAACTCTGTTTAAGAAAATATTCAGGAATATTTTTTGTCTTTCACATCGACTTCATTTGGAGTCAAGTTCTTGCTTAAAGTTTAAAACTGACTATATGCTTGAGGATTCTTCATGAATTGAGTCTATGGTATATATTTAAGGAATAGACTGAACAAAGTTCAGTGTCTGCAAGTTAGGCAGTTACCTGTAGTGCCTCGCATTTTGGTGCCCATGACCTGGAGTGGGATCCAAACCAAAACCAGTCCAGAAACCCTCTCTACCAAATGAGAAGCTACCTAAAGATACTCAGAAGGAAATGCTAAACCCAAAGCCATGTCTAAAGTTACACCTTTGCTGCAGCTTAGGCATATGATCAGGTCTGCAGAAGGGTATTTCCCTCCACGTAGGTTCCCTGTTACGGAAGGGACCGGTGAAAGTTATTTTCTGTAGTTTGTTCTGTACAAGCACTGATGTGAGCTGAACTCGTGCTGTGTGTCACTTTGTTTAAAGGTATTTTATTAATGCCAGGAAGGGGGAGATGCAAGTGCGGGGCTCCTGACGCTTGGAGGGAATTACAAGCCTTATTTTAGGAATATGCTAATTACATAATTATATATGATCCATAATTATACATTATACATAATTACATTTTATACATACATACAATTACAATGCCAATACAATTGCACAACTACAGGTTATGAGGTCATGGCAATTTTAGATTCTTGTACTTGGTTCTCCGAGTGAGTCCTACTGAAAGGGGGTGTCCTGATTCAGGTCGTAACACACTAAATACAGGTGACAAAAAAAGTAACAGAATAACCATATAAAAGACTGACAGGAGAAGAGAATGAGACAGAAGTAGAAAAAGGACGCGGTAGAAACAAAGGAAAGGATGGAAAGAAGAAGGTGCAGACACTGACTGTTATAGGAGAAAAGGCCTAAAACTCAAACTGTTGAGGTGAATGGAAGGATTCCCACTGGCATCACTGGAATTTTGATCCAACTCTGATAAAGGAAAAAGCAAAGGAGAAGGAAAGTTGCTCATTTCTTTTGGAAAGCAGCCAAACATAAGAAAGAAAAGAATCATGAACATTTAAAAATCACCTAAAATTATGGCAGCTTTGGGGTTTTTTTAATCTATAGTAGTAGTTTTCTGTGGTAGCAAAGTTTATTTTCTTCTTACCATCTCGATAAAATAAAAAAATAATCATCTTCAGATAATATAGAAATTAGCAAACGTACTACTAGGGATGCTTTATTTAATTCTAAGACAGGCACCTACGAGGCGAGTTGAATTTTATTCTGGAGCTGCTCATCAGCTAAGGCCTCTGATGGGAGGCTTGGGGGACTAGCTTAAACTTTTTAGAAGCTTCAGTTTGATTCAGTGAATACCACTTCAAACGTGCCGTCCACAGCTGTCACACAGTGAATGCAATTAATTGTGGGAAGTATTGATCTCACAGTAAGTATAATGCTCTTAGCTGACGGAGGTGTAGGTTTCTAATCCTGAACTGGTTTAAAAAGATCCTAAGGAAATGAGCTAGCTTAAACATGTGAGAGAGAGAGAATATAAAATAATAGGTTAAATTTGCTTTGAATCTGTCATGTTTCAAAAGCTATGTTAGATCAGAGATCTGTTTTCTGCTTGTCCCCTCTATTACTGAAATAATAATGCCATAATTTACAGAATCAATTGAACCAGGAGAGACGGCTTGCCAGAAAAGCTTCTTCGAATGAAGAAGAAAGAAGTCCTGTTATCATGCAGGAAAAAACCAAAAAGCTTGAGCTGGAAGGTAGCTCTGGCATCTTGTACTCCAAAGACACAACTGCTGACTCAGCTGTCAATGGAAGTCAGACGGACGGCAGTGAGAAGGAAGCAAGCCGCTCTGAAAGCAGCTTTGATGCAGACAGTGAAGCCTCAGAAAGTGAAAGTGCTTCTAAGCAAACGGCTTTCAGCCCGTCCAGCAACACCTCTGGTTTGCACGTCAACCACATAAATGTTAAAATGCCGCACAACAAACCGAGTGACAGTAATGAAGAGATGATTTCCAGTGCCGTATCCAAACTAAGCCTCTGTGGTACTATAAATGAAGATAAAAAATCGAGCCGTGGAGATCCAGCATTATCGAATAATTCCATGTTCTCGGTAGACAAATCCCTGCTCTCCCAAAACCCTCAAAATGCTTTCCAGACGCTTTCCCAAAGCTACATAACTAGCTCAAAGGAATGTTCTGTTCAGTCCTGCCTTTACCAGTTCACTTCTGTAGAGCTCCTCATGGGGAACAACAAGCTTTTATGTGAGAGCTGCACAGAAAGGAAGCAGAAGTATCAGAAGAAAACCAACTCCACAGGTAAAGTGCTTGTATCTGCCTGGACACTTTACAAAATTGCCTCTCGAAACCTGTCCGCAGGCTGCTGTTTCACTGCTCCAGCATGGGCCTCCCCCTTCTGGCTAAACACACAATGTCTCCCCAAGCAAAACTTGCTTCTAACAACTTAAAACTTCATCCCGCAAAGGCAACAAGACTAAATTTAGGTATTAGAACATAATCGTAGATGTAACTTAGAATTTATTTTGCATCTTTTCTTTATTTTATCCAAGATAAATAATTGAAAGACGACCATAAACGGAATAGATGCATCGTTCGATATTAATCTTTGCTGCCGTCTCTGTTCTTTACCATGCTAGAAGCTTTGAAATAAATGCTGCAGTGTTCAGCTGTAGCAAATGACATACTCAGGGAAGTAATGTAATTAACTATGTAAGCAGGACAAAAAAAGACACTTGTAATGAAGGGGGCGGGGGCACGAACTTACAAAGATTTGTTAAGAATGGAGATGAGAGAGAACTACTACCTTCTGGTGACACTGTTTTCCTCCATGTTTATATAGCCCAAGCAGACCATTAGGGTTCACTCAGTAAGAAAAACAATTTAAATATAATGAAAAAGAAACTTTTAACAAGGACTGGAGGATTTTTTTTTGATGTATAGCAATACAGAAAGATTAAAAAAATTAAGCTCTTTTGATAAAGGGAGGTCTTACGGTAACAAAAAATTGCCCGTTTGCTGTGCATTTATAGATACTTGTAGAGATACAAATGAAGCATGAGTAAATTCAGAAAAATTAATCTAAATATAGTATTTTATAATCATTAGTTTATCATTATTGGACTGAGAGTGAGTGCTATATGAATAATATTTCAGTTCCATGGGCACAGTGAAAAAAGGAAAAGGAAGACCAGTTCACAACTAATCGTTATTAATTTTTTTTCGTTCTCAAACAAAAGATTTAAGAAGTCACTTACTTCTACATGAAATGCTTCATTCTACCTCAAATGAAATAATTTCCTTTGGACACGTGTAAAACCAGTAAATTAATTATTTCTTTCAGCAAAAGAAATGCTGGTGGCATGTTCCCTTTTACTGTATAGCTAACCACTGAGCTACTTTTGGTAAGAGCCCCAGGTTCAATTCTCTCTGTTATGAGGCATCCTGCAGTAGACAGCCCTCCTCAGACCTTTCTCCTAAATAAGCATGAAGTATGTAGTCATTTAGAAAGAACTGAAGAATGAAAAAATAATCTCTATTTTAGTGGTTAGGACATCAGCATAGATAGAGAGACCTGTGCCTTCCATTTCTTGTTCCAGTGATCATCCCTTTATTTCAGGTGAAATGGTCTTAATGGGAAAGTTGGGTGCTACAGTAACATAGATACACTGACCTAGATAGTGTACGTGCTTCCAACTTTTGATCTGATTTGCACAGGACGGGCAAAAATAATGCTCAGATTTTGCAGATTATGTTTATTAAAAACTAGAAAAAATAAGAAAATTTCCCTTATACTTTATATAACATGTACAAAATCATTGCAACATAGATCTATTTTGTCGGGTGTTTAAAAAATACTTAAAATCTGTGTGACTGCCTTCACTTTACAAGTTATTTTGATATTCATAAATACAGAAAAGAAAATGGAAGGTGTCTACACAAATGCTCGGAAACAGCTGCTGATTTCTTCAGTTCCTGCTATTCTTATTCTCCATCTGAAAAGATTCCACCAGGTAAAAAGCCAAAACCCCTTTGTATATTCCTCTGCCTCACTGGTGGAGGAGCAGTTCTTTGAGTGTTGTTGTGCGTACCAATATTTGCTTTTTATACGGAGAACCGGTAGAACCACTATTTGAAACATGCTTATGTTTTTTTTTGACTGTCTAATACCTTCAGAGTGTGTTTAGCCATTCAGATGTGTCCAGGGAAACCCCTTACGTGTCCATGGTGCTTATTTGTAGCAGGCACTGTATTGAAAATATAAGAATGTTTAAATCAATTACAATCTTATTCTTGGGTTTTTGGTTTATTTTAATAGTATAGTAATACACCTTAGCTTTAAAAAGCTTCCTAGTAAAAATATTTATTTTATAGTCTCTTTCTTTTCTTTTGAAGGCTGGTTTAAGTCTGCGGAAAGTAAATAGGCATGTGGATTTCCCACTGATTTTAGACTTGGCACCATTTTGTGCTGCATCTTGCAAGGTACCTATTTCAAATCTTTATTTTTATTGTACTTCAACCTTTGTTGTCCTGAGCACAAGTTAAACTAGATTGATGATGAAGATGATGATGATGTTTATTATTGCTTCTTTTCCTAGAGAAATTATAGAGTGAATTTTTCAAATAGTATTCCAAGATCAGAATTGTAACTAATTGAAATGCCATTCATATCAAGAATATCATGGATGTTAACTAGTATTAATCTATGGTGCCGTGATGGTGTTAATGCTGTTAGATACACTAAGGACAAGTATTGCTGCTTCCATGGTAACTAAATTCATTTAATAGACCATTGAATATTTTTAATAGATGTATTTCACCATTGGATATGCTATAGTTGTCTGTTTGCTTCTTTTAAAGTAACACTGTTGATGGCTAGTTAAGATATCTGTAAAATTCATTGTTAAATAATTTGTCTTTGTTTTCTGTGTTTCTGGGAGTGCAGAATGTTACGGATGGTGCTGTAAGAGTGCTATATAGTCTTTACGGAATAGTGGAGCACAGCGGGTCAATGAGAGGCGGTCATTATGCGGCGTATGTGAAAGTCAGGACACCCTCCAAGAAATTACTAGAGCATATTTCTACCACTAAAAATGTTCTGGGTATGTACAAACAGAGCCTCTTTTCTCTGTGAGTGAAACCAAAAGCAACCACTGGGTACACCTCCTTATCCTTAAGGGGATTTATAGCAAATAATTGTTTTAGCTGAGAATACTCTGTTATTTTTAGAGCCACATAAATCAAGTCTGTCTTTTTTTTTTTTTTTTTATTAATGTTACACCCAGTATGTGACCTACTTCTGTATTAACCCCACATAGAGGTGTGAATAATGGAATTTTGGTTCAGTTATTAAACAGAGAATTGACGGAAAACTCTCCTCTCTCTTTCCTAGTCAAAATAGTACGTCCGGATGAATACTTGTGCCTGGTAAAATGTAATTATTTGGCATATTTGGTATTCGAAAATGTTCTGGTACAAGAGCCGAATCCATGACAATTTAAATTTTCTGTATATTTGAGCATTTTACATATCTTAGGATTGGAAATTTTTTTAATGCTTGAAAATCTGGAATACCCTGGTTTAATGTGAACTGCGAGAAACTTTTTCATGGAGGATACGAGGTTTGCTGTAGGGTTTCTGTTGGCATTTTGAGAACAGCACACTAGTTCTTATAAATATGTTTTGGATATGCAGAATGAAGTAAGATTCTAGGATAGAATCTGTTAGTGAATGATTTGTGGAGGCAAGGATGTTGAGCTGTCAGAGTAAGGTAAAGATATTTACCGTTTCCCTTTATGGGGGACAGCGAGAACCAAGCACTATCCTGTCTATGCTGTGTAGTTATCACTTTGCATTTGAAGCTCATTTCCCAGAAGGACAATTTTTTATATTACTTTTGAAACAGAAGTCTCCCTCAGTCTTATGCTTCCCTTGCAATGATGATTAGAACAGATTAGATCTTTTTGTGTTCTTAATTTCACACTGGTCAGCTTTTGAAATAGGAATTTTTTTTCTACATCAGAACTGGCTGTGTGCTAGTATAACTTACTGTTAGAACTCAGCAGGCTGTACTTGAAATGTCTTAGGCTTTTTGAAAAAATACGGCAAAAGCAACGGCAGCGTACACTTGTAAGCACTGTCTTCCATCAGTTTCTCTTAGGGGGTACTATGGCATGGGGGTTTCAAACTACAAATACTGGACTGCATCTAAGTCGTGAGTTAGTCTTGTGGGTTAGAAGATTCCCTTGCTTTTTGAAATATCCACTGTATTTGTCTGATGATGACGTCAAAGATGAGAAACAACTTCTTTTGCTTTTGCATTTCAGGTTTAAAAGAAGCCATGGGAGCATCAGGAGGACAGTGGGTATACGTTAGTGATGCCCATGTTCAGATGGTTCCAGAATCAAGAGTACTAAATGCACAAGCATATCTACTTTTTTATGAAAGATTATTACTATAATTCTCAACAGTTTAATTTAAAAGATGGTAGTGGTTATTTAGTTTGTCTTATTTAAAGCTGCAGTGGTAAGAGTACCTGTAAATATTGTGCCTTTATCTTGTAGAGAATTTGTCATATGTTGACTCCAAAGTTCAGTCACGCTATTATAAATATCTGAATGGTTCTCTTGAAGTACGCACTTTGCCAAACATTGAAAATTCCTGGATTCATTAAAATACAGTACCGTTAGAATGTAAGATGATGTCCTATCCTACTGAGGTCTATGGAAAGTTTGGTTTTTATTTTAATAAAGATAAGCTTTCACCCATAGTTCTAGAACAGTTCAGAATAAAAATACTGATAGCGTTAAGTGCCTGGATTTGCTGGTGTACAGTAACAATACAAAGTATTTCAACTTTTTGTGATCTAGTCCAGATCCTTCCCATCACTGGGCTGGATGTCAGCTGTTAAGATTTCTGCAAACAAGAACCTGTCAAATCATGTTGCTTCCACATGTAGTAATGGGAAAGCACAGTGCTTCCAGAACGGAGTAACAGGAGCTGTCTCTGGGTAACGCCGCAGTGCACCTTCTAGATAGAGCCAGGGATAGACTGGGAAAACGCAGCTTCTGCAAAGTGACAGCCGGTCCTCAGATACGCAGTGCCCTTTCAGCTGTCTCCAGCTGGCACTGGTATAGCAATGTGCTCCTGTTTTCATATAAATATATACTTGGTGTGTATATGTATAGCCTCTGAGATATGCACACCATATATCCATCAATATATATTGTCATCTTACCTCCTAGGAAAGAGAATTGCAAATACTTCTGTATTTAGTAAATTTTCAACTTCATAATTACGACAATGTACAGCATATAAGCTTGTGTATGAGTATGTATGGGGTTTAAGTGTAACTGGGTAACTGTTACTTTTGGTTCTAAATATGAATTTGTTTATCTGTTCCTGAATACTTTTCTCACAGGAGTAATAAACTATACATTATTTTTGCACTGTGTGTGTGAGTTGGACAGTAAATGACTTTTGCCTTCTGATACACATCCGGACTTCCCTTTGTCATCAGCAGAGGAACTCGTTTGCGTATCCTGTTTGCCCTGTTGAGTTGGTATTTCTTTTGGTAATTTCTCATTTTCATCCCAGAGAGTAATAGATATTTTAAGGTCAAATCTGATGACTACTTTGAAGCTATGTGGTAATTCATTTATTTAATAAGCAGTTACTTAAATAACAAATTACTTCTGTAACAGTTCCATCCTGTCCAATTTGCTCTTTGGTAGAGAAAAGACTATGTTTATTTCTGCTTACTGTTTTCATTTACGGAAATAGTTTTTTGGTGAAAAAACGTGCTGTCCGTATTACTGTCTCTACCATGTGTCGTCATACCTACTTGCACGACTTTCCTGTTCTCTAGTTCTGTTTCAGAGCTTCATCCCACCTGCATCCACTCTTTTGGATAAGAAAATAGCAAAACCTGCCATAGTTTCATTTGCTCAAACTGCTGAGGTATATTTTATAGCCGCATTACTTGTGCATACTTGTGCAGGCACTAAGGATTGTTAGGCCATACAGCTGATTGTCATAACAGAGTTAGCCCCTGGTTGCACAGGATTTTATTTTTCAAAGGAAAACTCCTCCGTTTAGGTCAAAATTAGGCTATGCATTTTGGCCACTGCAATCATTTTTTTTCCCTTCATGGATTAAAATTCTCTCAGTCTACCCAAAAGTATTAAAACTCAGAAACGAAGCAGTCAGCTTCAGCCATCTGTATTCCAACTAAACACATCTTAACCTGAGTCTACACTAAGCAAGAAAGAAAAAAAAAAGGTTTAGACTAGAGTTGGTTAAAATATATTAATGCTCTTTCATCTCCTTACCTTTCCATACCCTTCATCCACCTACATGCTCCTTCCCTCTCTTTGTATATAGCTGATCAAAACTCAAAATTGGTTCTGGGCAAGAGTCACAGCAAATACCAACTAAGTTTCACTTCTGTGACACAGTCTTGCTAGGAGACCACAGATGGAGTGTGTTTCATCCACCTTAGAGCAGACAAGACTGACTAGATGAGGCCTGAAGTTTGTAGTTTTGCTGACTTCTGTAAAACTACTGAACTTAAGTACCTGTATTAATCTCCTCCTTTTTAGCCTAGAACAACCTCCCTAGAGTACAAAACTAGGAGAGAGACAAAACAAGGTTCTTAACCTGTTATTTTTAATGCTGTTTTCAGGAAACTCTTGAGACTGTCTTTGCTTCTCTTTAACCAGAGTTCACACACTGTTTGGACCGCTGAAATCTTCCCAAGTGGACATACTGACTAGGATGCCATGAAAAATGCTGGCAGGATTATTTCCTCATTAACAGCCAGGGAACATTTCCTTGCTATTAAGGTATTTTATAGAACATGGAAGAAAAATGGCATTAAAAAAAGCCAGCGCCTTTATCTGAGATAGCCATCACTGTTGCTCCTGGACAAAGCTTCCGGAGTTGAAATAAAAAGCAGTGTTAGGAGCAACCCCAGTAAGTTCAGAGTCAGGAGGAGGTATGAAAATATTATAGGAGGACACATTCTCTAAAAATGAGGACAACAGGTGAAGTTATGGCTTTAGAATGAAGAAATGATGACTAATGCGAGATGTCATATACAATTTAAGAAGCAAGTCACACTTAGTGTGTCCTTTAAGACATAGGGTTGAGTTGGTTTTTTGTTGGTGGTAAAATTTGACTCCAGAGCAAGTGATTGTACATAAATATGCATGCAGAAGACTTGTTATAGTTCCTTATCAGGAATTGCAAGAGAAGGTCAGAGTGTTCCAGGAAAACAGGAGTGTAAATCTTGTATTTGCTAAAACATTAAACGTGATTCTAGAGGCTATTTGCAAATCTAGGATCTCAATAGTTTCCTGCAACTGCCCAATGTGTGCGCAGTATTGACTAGCTATGTGTTTTCAGATTTAACTAAAGGGCTCTAAAGTTTAAGACTCTCCTTAAAATATCTTCTGTTAGCAGACGAAAAAAAATCTTTTCAGGCCTACAGCATCTGCTCTTCATAGAGCTACGCCATACCTTTGTTGTCCCCCCCCACCCTGAGAAAGCACAGTATCCTGCTTCTTCATGTGGAATAGCTTAGAAACAGCTTTCTCTTCATCCCACCCTTCTCTTCTCACAAGGGCACCACTGTTTTCTTCATCAGCCTCATCTGTTCTTTACGTTTTTGGGGTCTCCATAAGCCTCTCTGTCTTTTCTTTCATCGATCCTTAACCATAACATAATTTTTCCCAGTTCCATCACTTGCATTCCAGGCACTAGCAAAACCCTTACTGGAAGACCTACTCTAACTATAGTCTTGCCTCTCCCCACCACCACGCTGGCTGGCTCCACTACAGACTGCAGAAAGAACTTTGTTATCTTGGGATTTATATACCATTTAGGCTAATTGTGGCAAAAAGTGATGGGGAGAAGATTTATTATACCAACATATCATCTCCACCAATACATGTACAGACATCATGGTTGTCTGTTCTCCTAAGAGAGGGCTGCAAACACTTAGTGGTGAAGGAAAAACAAACAAAAACCAAACCAACCCACCAACCCTAAACTTCTCTGCCTGAAATGTACGCACTGTCATCGTCTTTGTTTAGAAAATGAAATCCATGCAGTCTGCCAAACTTTCCTCCCCTATTCCCATCTGCACCCTCTGTGTGTATCAATGAAGTGCTCTTACAGATTTCAAGTGGTAGCAGGTGAGAGTGGTTCATAAATTCATTAAAAGGCTGAAATGTCTTAACTTCACCATTTGCTTCTCTTTGGACCTTTTTTTTTTTATACTAACACTATACAAACTGAATCATAAAGGGACATGAAATTAATGCATCTATGTTCTCAACCCATTATAAAAATCTTATTTGAATGTACTAGTAACAAACTGAGATTTAGAAAGGAATGATTTCTTGAGGAGAAACTTTAAGATGTATTAAAACGGGAACAAAGAAAGCATTTGAATACAACTTTTATGTTATCAAAAATTAGCAAATCCAATTTTAATTAAAAAGTGGTAGCATGCTTCACAAAACAGCTTCACAAAAATTTGACATTCCTCAGTTTTCATCAGCTGGAAACTTTTTTGCTGTGCCCTGTACACATTTATATGTTTTTACAAAGATTTATGTATCTACATGAAAGAGATGCCACTAATTTTCAGTAGAACCATGTCAGTCTATTTTAAAATGGATTATTTTTGCTTCTGTATCTATTTTCTGTGTCCTAGGATGTCATTTTACCAGCTGTTTTAGCTGTGGCGTATAAATAAACTGCAGAAACAGTGGGAAAGTGATTATCAAAAATTATTCAAAATTTTTTTTTGTAAACTGAGATTATAAAATATATTTTCAGACAGAAGTCTGTTAGTGCAAGTCAAAACACTTGCTTTGAACAACATTATATAAAAAGTCTAAGTGAATTTATTTGTTATAATAAACAATTGCAATGCATTGTAACTACTTTAAGGCTATTGGTATACATTCCATTTATATAAAGTTATAAATACTTCTGTCTTCATTGATGTTAGTAGAAAACCTGTTTTTTAAGTGTCAGGAATGTTTCTTAAATCTTTTGCAGCTTCCAATATTTTTCTACTACAAAATATAAAGGTGCAGTACTGCTTTTAAAAGAAAACAGAAAGCATTTCTTTTGAGTAGGTGCATGACTTCTTAATGCTAACCTCATTGTTTTGCTAGGTTGGTTTTTTGCTTTTGAGCTGTGTAACCTGGGGATCGTTACAGTGAACTCTGTAATGAAACCACCCTGTCAATGGCAGCCATTCCCTATTTAGCCATTTCACAAAGTTGAGTTCTGATTCTACAGTCAGTTATGCAGGGGGGTAATCCCCGATACGTTCATATGTGCTTGCACTTATACAAAAGACAATCCAAGTAATCAAAAAAACCCATTGCTAAGTCCGAAATACTTGTGACCAATAAATGAAGCACGTTAAAAGTTTCATCTTGTTCTCGTTCACTTACTTTTTAAATCTGTTTGAACTAATAGTCTAACTCTACTCTGCAGGTATTCAAATAACAATATTTCTAGAATTTTACTACAGTACTGATACATTGTATGCTTTATTTGTAGATTCTCATTCCAAATATTACTAAGTAAACAGGGCCTTAAACACAGACTGTATTTAAAAAAACAAACAAAAGTCTGATCAGTTTTCCAGTCTACCCTACATGCTTTAACAAGTTTCTAAGAACAAAGCTGCCATTTGTCTTCTATTCATTTTATCTTTTCATCTATATTATATATTATTTGACAAATGTATAAATAAAATATCCAACCATTTGGAAAACTATATTGTTTAAATATAAGCTGTATGTTGTACAATTGAGTTCACAAAGTTTCCATTTTTTTCCCAACTAAAGAAAGAATGTTTTTTCCTTTCATCTTGTGTCACAACTTCACCACGCTTGGAAGAGCTACCCAGAGATGAGTCCATATCCTTGAACACGTACGCTACACCACTTGTTTCTCCCTGCCTTACCATCTGTGGCATAGCTCAGAGATTAAGAGACAGTTTGCTCCCTTTACAATAACCACGTTCTGTAATTCTGTGATAAGACCAGGACAAAGAGCGGGTTCCCCTGACATCCCCACTTTCATTAGTAGCTTAAAGCTTGCCCACCCCTAAGTACAACTCCAGGATTCCAGCTGTGCGTCAGTCCACACCGGACACACTTAAAACTTCCAGAACACTTCTGTCCACGGAAAGCGTTCTCGGTCCAGCCATTCCTTGTGACGCAAAAAGGGAGAGGTCTAGAACACTTCAGTTAACATTAATAGGTAGCATAAGTGGCACCGACAAATCTTACAATTAAATCATTACATGAAGTAAAGCACAAATTTCTTGAAGCTTTCAATATTCTATAGATTTATAAAATTTATTAATTTATTGTGTTACTCTGTGGGGCTGTTACTGTTACTTTATCCAATG